TGCGGAGATACTCAGCCGAAAGCAGCAGAAAAACAGCTCTTCTCCCAGCTACGGTGTTGGGCTGACGCAACAGGTTCGGCTAACCGATAAAAAGTTGCCTGCTGGCAAACCGCCAGCGTTCAGGTGTGTTTCTCTATAAGAAGTTTGAATTTCCTCAATTTTTCAAGTCAATGGAGCTTAGGTTATGCATGCTTCAGTTTCAAAAATGAATTTCAGGCCCGCGGTCGACGAACAAAAGCGTCAGGTGAAATGGCGCGAGATCACCGATGCCCTTGAGGTACAAGACCAGAAGTTCGAGAAGCTCAGCGAGCAGCTGCGACGGGACCTTGTTGTTGAACAAAAGCACCAGATTGGTAAATCATTCAAGAATTCTAAAAAGTTACTTTAAAGTACTGCTTTTTTGCCCACTCCTTTAAAGCGAGGGATTACGATAAGATTGGACTGGGTTCATAGTGGAAGTGGGATGCTGAATAATGCCCCAGTGGCGAAAAAAGCAAAGAAATCCGTCAAGAAGGCGCAAAATGGGACCCCTTTCTTTGCCCGTTGACCTCCGATAATGGACGAGCTAGCAACCAATTAGGAGGTCGTTTGCACATGTTATGCTGATAGCCTCTATCATTTCAGCAAGCATCATGCTTTGATTGATCACGCATCCCATGAAAAGTTATAGGAGAAACGCACTCAAACTGGGATACGCCATCCAATGATGCTGCTAACAACACAGTAATGGGCGGAGCACAGGCGGCGGAGGCGGAGCTCAGGGAGGATTGGCAGCCCCAGGGCGCTGAACTAGCGCGCCTTTGGCCACGAAAAGGCCACATCTCGCTTCCTTAGGCCCCTGACTACTGCTTCCACTGGTGCATGTACTTCCATGCTTGCACACACACTTTATCGTAATCTCTCGCTTTCAAGGCAACAGCCCACAGCTCAGAGCAAATGCATCTATACCCAGAAATTTAGGTATGGCTATTCGACATTACGGTAAGTGACCAGCTTAATGTGGCTGTTTGGTTGCCCGTACAGTACAGGCCGTATGCTTCCTGTTCAGTTCCTTATTGGAAAGCCTTTTTGAAAAAGGGCTGACTGTGCTGGCAAGAGTGTATGCTTGCTAGCAGGGTTGTCTCAGATAAGGGATAGTCGATCTGATATTCCGGCGAGCCCTTTTTCCAACGAGCTTTTCATCACCGGCGGAAAAGCATTCGGCCTTATGAGTGAAATGTGTTACGTGATAGCTAGTGATCTGGAGAACCAGTGAGCATGTACTGTCACCCTCCAGATGTGTGGCTGTTCGGAGTGTGTATAGTCAAACGGACTCAAAATCAGTAGAGGAAGGTCCTAAAGGATACTGAAAGCACTGAACCTCATTTTGCGAATTCTGGGTTATTTTCCAGGTCTCTGTGCGAATTGTCGTCTTCCAATGTACGATAACGAGGAACGATATACGGTCAACGATTCCACGTACCACAGAGCTTGTTTCACGTGCGAGGTGTGCGGACGAGAGTTGAGGTAGGGGTTTTTTAATTCAGTAAAAATCAGGAATCCTTGACCCAGGGAACAAGCAATCGATAACTTTTGAAATTTCATCTCATCAAAGTAGACAATCATTTAAGCCAAATTTTGCTTGTATCTTTATGTTAGTTTATTAAGAGAATTGCTTGATAGTGGAATCCTTTTTACGTTTTGAGTCGTCACAAAAATATTCCACATTCGAGAGATGTGTCAACAATTTTTTAACTTTTATGTAACAGGGTGGTCCAAAATTATGAAGACCGCATGCGAGCGCAGTCATACTCACTTTT